ATATAATAATAATAAATAATGATAAATAATACAAAATATAGTCGGTTATTTAAATAAAATACATTTTTTTCAGTGTACAATAAAATTTGAATTCGAAAAAGAAATAAAAAAAGAATAAAAGTTCAAAACTATTGTATATCTTAATTTTTATTTTCCAGAATTTTGTGCAATTTTAGAACCAAAAATGCAAGCGAAAAAAAGAAGAATGAATCTTTAAAATCTTTGTAACTTTGACCCCATCATCAGAATATTGATTTCTCTAAATAAAGCATCATCAACTGTTCCACATAAAAATAGAATCAAACTTTTATATAAATAAAACATAAAAATTTTACAAGGGAAGCATCCGCAGTTTAGTTTACAAAAACTTGAAAAGTAGAACAGCAGCTCGAAACATATGTGTAAATAAAAATACATACTTTTAAAAAGGCGAAAAAAGGAAATGAGAAATTATTACAGAAACTTATTCGGGTTTAAAATTAAACAATAAATCCATAAAATAGATAAAATAAAAAAAAATGTGTTCACAGTACTTTCACAAGTAATAAATTGAAATTAATAGTCCCACGCTATAAACAACTAAAGTCGTTTGAAACTTTTGCCCATGGTGTTTCTGGAATGTTCAATGAGAGCGAATCATTTATAATCGGAAAATAGTGCGACTATAATAGTTCGGTTTCGTTGACTAAATCCATCAGGGATATTGACATAGGTCAGGGAATTTAGGGAAAAGTCAGGGATTTTTATTAAAAGTAGTGGAAAAAATTAAATTTTTGGAATTCATAAGAAAATTCTGAATTTAGGTAAATTTTTTGTTTGATTCACAAACTATGAAATTACCACGAAATTCAATTATTTCCAAAAATAATAAAATTCTTCTCCAAAATTCAATTACGTTAAAAAAAAATTCTTGTAAAAATTTCAATTATTTTTATAAATTATTTTATTTGCAAAAATTCAATTATTTTTAAAAGTTTAAAAAAATTCTTCACATGAATTCAATTATTTTCAAAAGTTTTAATAAAATTCTTCCCAAGAATTCAATTATCTTCATAAATAACAAAATTCTGTAAAGAAATTTAATTTTAATGAAAACATTTTAATGACATTCTTGACAAAAATTCAATTACCTTTATAAATAATATAAATCTTTGCAGAAATTCAACTATTTTCAAATTTGCATTTAAATTCTTCCCAATAATTCAATTATTTTTAAAAATTTTATTTATAATCCTTCGTCAAAATTCAATTATTTTAATAAATTGTAAAATTCTTCTTCGAAATTCAATTATTTTCAAAAATTTTAATAAAATTCTCGGCAAAATTTCAATTATTTTCCAAATTTGTCCTCAATTTAATGATTTTCAATATCTACTATTTTATTAAAATTTTTCATAAAATTCTAAGCACACATTTAATTATTTCTATAAATAATAAAAATTTCACACAAATTCAATTATTTAGAAATTCTTTTACAAATTTATTTCCAATAATTCCATTATTTTTATAAATAATAAAATTTTTTTCCAGGGCTTCAATTATTTTCATAAATAATAAAACTTTTTATGAATTCAATTAATTTCAAAAGTTATAAAACTCATCGCAAAATATGAATTATTTTCAAAACAATTTAAATCGAATTCCTTGAAAAAAGTAATTATTCTTACAAATTTTTATTAAAATTCGTCAAAAGTCTGAAGTTTTCGTATTTTTAAGTAACAAATCTGTAGAATTTATTTTTTTGGTAAAAGTCATAAAATTCTTTATAAGAATTCAATTATTTGTAATACGATTTTAATTAAAATATTTAAATGAACTCAATTATTTTTAAATGGGATGTTATTGAAAATTGTCGAAAGAATTCAATTATTTTCTAAAATTTTAATTAAATTCTTTATAAGAATTCAATTATTTTCAATAGAAATTCAATTAATATATTCACAACAATCTAATCATTTTCCAAAATTTTAACAAAATTCTTTGAAATAATTCAATGATTTTCAAAAATTCTGATAAAATTCAATTATTTTCATAAACAATAAAATATTTCCCAAAAATCCAATTATATTTTAAAATACAATTTTAATATTAAATTTCTCAAAACAATTCAATTCCTTTTAAAAATAATAAAATTCGTCGCAGGAATTCAATTATTTTTTAAAAGTTTCAATATTTTCTCAAAACAATTCAATTGTTTTTTAAAATTTTAATAAAATTCTTCGAATGAAATCACTTTTTTTCAGAAATTGTGATAAATTTTTTTAGAAGAATTCAATTATTGTTAATACATTTTTTAATAAAATATTTGAAACAGAATTCAACAATTTTCCAAATTTCAAAAATATTCTTCTATACACAATTCAATTATTTTCAAAAATTTTGATAAATTTCAAATTATTTCAATACAATTTTCATTAAACTATGCGAAACAATTCAATTATTTTGCAATATTTTTACAAAATTCTTCGAAGCAATTCAATTATTTTCAAAAAATTTAATTCAATTCCTCGCAAGAATTCAATTATTTTCATAAATAAGAAAACTCTTCTTAGAAATTCAATTATATTTTTAAATACAATTTTAATATAATTTCTCCAAAGAATTCAATTATTTTCAGTCAATTTTAATATAATTTCTCCAAAGAATTCAATTATTTTCAGTCAATTATTCAATAAATTATTTATTTTTGTATTTAAATAATTGAATTCTCGTAAAATTTTCTAACAAAAATTGATTTAAAAATCAGTCATTCAACAATCAGTTACAATTGTAAGTAATAAAAAAATTAAATTTTAGTGCTTTTAAAATGTTAAAAGCATTAAACCGTGAATTTTTAGAAATAATTGAATTTTGAAAGGCTATCAAATTAAAATCTTTCATAATTTGTATTTTTCATACTTTTAACCAACAATACTGTATGGAATTGACTTTTTTGAAAAAATTAATGGAATTCTTTTGGAATTTCTTAGTTTTTATTTTCTAATATATTTAATTGAAGTTTTTCCGAATAATCGTAATTTCGCACAAAATTAAATTGTGAACAAATAATGGATTTGAAAAGTCTTAAAATCACTTTTTCAAAAATTATTGAAAATAATTAATTTAAAGAAGAATTTTAGTTAAAAATAATTGTAGAAAATAATAATTGAATTGAAATGATGAAAATAATTTTGTAGAAGTTACAGTAATTTTTGCAATATAAAATAATGATTTTATCACTCTTCATCAGGGTGTCCAGCGATTCTTTAAAAAGAAATTCAAGGACTCTTCAAGGTTTTCAAGGTCCAAAATAATTTTTTTCAAGGTCCATTTTTAGGGTACTAATTTTCAAAATATTTGTTATTTGTAATCGAGTATAATAGTATATTTCAAGTAAATTTTTAATTACTGTCTAAATTTGAATTAGTAACAATGATTACTAATTTGATTTAGTGACTGACTTTTTGCTTTTGAATTAGTAAATTTCACTAATAAATTATTATCATTTCTACTAATTTTTTTAGTGAAATTTACTAATTAAAAAGCAAAAAGTCAGTCACTAATTCAAATTAGAAAACATTTTTACTAATTCAAATTTAGAGAGTACTTATAAACAATTTTATAATTTCTACATACAACGCAGTTATTCATAAATAACTTTAAATACAATTTATTGATAAAATATTAGAAATACATATAAAGAACATCGATTTAAGAAACTTATTTAAAATTGTTTTTAAATAATTAAATTCTTTTGAAAATTTCTATTAAAATAATTGATAAACAAATTATAGAATTAACAAAATTTTTTGAAAATAATTGAAATTTTGCAATGAATTTTATTAAAATTTTTGAAAATAATTGAATTTTATTACTTTTGAAAATAATTGAATTACTGCGAAGAATTTAATGGCAAATTTTAAAATAATTGATTTTTGCGAAAAAAATTATGCAAATTCTATTTTAAATAATTGAATTAATGTAAAAAAAATTTTTTTTTTAAATAATTGAAAGTTTGTGTAGAATTTTTTTAAAAACTTTTGTTCAATAATTAAATTCTTTCGGGAAATTTTATTAAAAAAGTAGAATATTGAATACCATCGAAGTAAGAAAATTTTTTGAAAATAATTGAAATTTTGCCATGACTTTTATTAAAATATATGAAAACATTTGAATTCTTGTGGTGAATACTATTATTTACGAAAATAATTGAATTTTCTTAAAATTCCTCAAAATAATTGAACTTTGTCGAAGATTATTGTTATTTATTTCTAAAGATAATTTAATTGTTGACCAAAATTTTTAAAATTTTTTGAAAATAATTGAATTTTTGCGAAAAATTTAATTCATTTTTAAAATAATCGAATTCTTGTGGTGAATATTGTTATTTATATGAAATAATTGTATTTTGCAGTGAATTTTATTAAAGTTCCTGAAAATAATTGAATTTCGGCGAAGAATTTTTATATTTATAAAGATAATTGAAATATTGAACAGCATTCAACTTAAAACTTCAAGGAAATAAATCTCATTTTTAAGAATTTTAATTTTTCAAGGTTTTCAAGGAGCAAGAAAAATTCAAGTACTTTTCAAGGTTTTTAAGGTTTTCAAGGTAGCTGGACATCCTGACTCTTTATGTTTTAAATTAATATTCTTATATAAGTTATTGAATTTCAAAAGGGTGTGAACTTGAATCTTTCGAAGAATTTTAATTCGTGTCGAAAATGAAACAATAAATCCGCACAAAATAGATAAAATAAAAAAAAAAAATATGTTCACAGTACTTTCACAAGTAATAAATTGAAATTAATAGTCCCACGCTATAAACAACTAAAGTCGTTTGAAACTTTTGCCCATGGTGTTTCTGGAATGTTCAATGAAAGCGCGAATCATTTATAATCGGAAAATAGTGACTAATAGTCCGGTTTCGCTGACTAAATCCATTTATCCCGCATGTTGCATATATTCAACTTGTATATATGGAAACATTGAAAATAAAAAAGAAAAAAAGTGTTACATACCTTATATTTTCTAATGGAATGAAGCTGTTGTTGAGTGGGTTCGGTAGTGGTGTTATCGCTCGGCTCCACATTGTTGTTTTGAGTGGAAAGACGAAGATTATCCTTGGGTGGTCTAGCGGGTGCTCTTTTCTGATCTCTGGGCGGAATAGCAGGTTTGACCCCATTGAGACCAGCCTAAAAATGAATCCAGATTGTCCAGATTAATTGTTCCTTTTCATTTCCTCTAAAGGTCAACTACCTATACTTTTTTTTTGTTTTTTTTCTTTTTTTTATTGTTTTTCTCGAGACAAAAAGACACCATTGTCATTATCATTGTCAACACATTATTATACATACGAGTGAGTCACTCGAGAGAGTTGCTTGAGCGTTTAAAGTTATTCAGAATAGTAGGATACAATAGGCGATTAGTTTTTGCATAAAGGATATTTGTGTGTATGGGAGATATGATATTATTCAGATTACAAGTTTATATTTGAATTAAAATTAACATGCTTATATGAAACTTACGAAATTCATGCATTTTCCCAGTTTCCACCATCTCCAGACTATTCTACACTATATATATGTGACTTCCTGTACGTTAATGTGATTTATTTAGTGTTACACAAATTATTTCCAAAATTCAAATGAACAAAATTCATTTATTTTTCAAATTCAAATTATGTTCAAAACCTTTTTTTTATTCTTGTCAAAATTTCAATTATTTTTATAAATAATAAAATTCTTCTCCAAAATTAAAAATTAAGTTCAAAATAATTGAAAATAAAGTTAAAATTTTTTTTAAATTTCACTTATCTTTGTAAATAATAACATTATTCGCAATAATTCAATTATTTTCAAAAGTTTTAATAAAATTCTTCCCAACAGTTCAATTCTCTTCATTCTTGTTCAATTCTTGTCAAGTTTGTTTTTAAACTTTTGAAAAAAATAATTGGGTTCTTACGAAGAATTTTTTTAAACTTTAAAAAATAATTTAATTTTTGCGAAGAATTTTATTATTTATAAAAATAATTTAATTTTGATGATAATAATTGAATTCTTTGAAAGAATTTGATTAAAATTTTCTAAAATAATTAAATTCTGTTCAAGAATTTTATTACTCATGAAGGTAATTGAATTCTGACCAAGAATTTTATTATAATTTTTTGATAATAATTGAATTCCTGGTTTTCTGGAAAGAATTTTGTTATTTATGAAAATAATTAAATGTCTGTGTGACAATTGTATTATTTCTAAATTCTTTCCTTAAATGTTGTTAAAATTTTTTGATTATAATTGAATTATTGTCAAGTTTTTTTCTAAACTTTTGAAAATAATTGCGGCTTCTAGCGAAGAATTTTTTTTATTGAAATTTTAGAAAATAATTTAATTCTGTTGAAGAATTTAATTATTTATAAACAGATTTGAATTCTTGCCATGAATTCTATTAAAATTTTTTGATAATAATTGAATTCCTGGTTTTCCACAAAGAATTTTTTTATAAATTATCTTCAAAAACAACAAAATTATTCGAAAGAATTTAATTATTATCAAAAAATTTTAGGAACATTCTTGGCAAGAATTCAATTTTTTTTTAAAATTTTAATAAAATTCTTCCCAAGAGTTCAATTCTCTTCATAAAAATTCAATTATTTTCATAAATAACATAATTTTTCGCAAAAAACCAGGAATTCAATTATTATCAAAAAATTTTAATAACATTTAAAGAATGAATTCAATTATCTTCAGAAATAATACAATTCTTCACAAAAATTCAATTATTTTCAAAAATTTTTCCCAAGAATTCAATTATTTAAAAAAATTCTAATATAATTCCTCGTAAAAATTCAATTATTTTCAAAAGTAATAAAATTCTTGGCTGAAATTCAATTATTTTCAAAATTTTTAATAAAATTCTTGGCAAAACTTTAATTATCTTTATAAATAATAAAATTATTCTCTAAATTTGAATTATTTTTAAAAATTTTAATAACAATCTTCCCAAGAATTCAATTATCTTCTTAAACAACAAAATTATTCGAAGGAATTCAATTGTTATCAAAAAAATTTAATAACATTCTTGGCAAGAATTCAATTATTTTCAAAAATTTTAATAAAATTCTTCCCAAGAATTCAATTATGTTCACAAAAATTCAATTATTTTCATAAATCACAAAATTCTTTGCAAAAAACCAAGAATTCAATTGTTACTAAAAAAAATGTTAATAACATTCTTGGCAAAAATTCAATAATCCTCATAAGTAACGAAAATCTTAGAAAGAATTGAGTTTTTATCAAAAATAACAAAATTCTGTAATTGAATTCAATTATTATGAAAACATTTTAATGACATCCTTGACCAAAATTCAATTATCTTTATAAATAATAAATAACATAAATCTTTGCAGAAATTCAATTTTTTTTAAATTTTCATTTAAATTCTTCCCAACAATTCAATTATTTAAAAAAAATTTATTTAAAATTCTGAGTAAAAATTCAATTAATTTTATAAATAATAAAATTCTACGCAAATTTAGCAAAATTTACTTCGGATTTAGTAAAATTTACTATAAAAAATTAGGAATGCGTCGAAATTCCAGACAGTTTATAGATTTTAGTGTAAAAATAGCAAAAAGTTAATTTATTCGCTTTTGTTTTTAATGATTGAGAAATTAAAAATTGTAAGAAATTAAAAAAGTACGATAAATATTATTTACATAAACTATCGATATTATAAATAATGTAAAATTGGCCTTGAAATTAAAATTCTGAAATAATTTTCCGTAATTTCTATAATAATTTTGAATTTAGTTAAACGTTATTTACAATTTTTATGTTATTTTTTTTTCATATAAATTATGTAACTTTTTTTACTTTGCAATTTTCTTGTAAATGTAAATTTTATAGATAATGATATTATTTCATATAATTTATTTTCATATTTATACTTTATGATTACTAACTAAATAACCAAATGAATTATACAAAACAAAACTATTTTGTTTTTTAATAAAAAAAAAAGTAAGTAAGTAAGTAGTTTTTTTTTAGTAAAAGTTTTATAAAACTGTTTAATTTTTAAATATAATTTGTAAATGTTAAATTTAAAATAATTGTTGAAATGAATAAATAAATTTTGTTTTATACTTTTAAAGTAAATAAACATTTAAATAGAATTTTTAATTACTTAATTCATTTATTTAAGAGCATTAAGAATGAATTTAATTTTAACTTAAATGTTATTTTTATTCAAAGTTAAGAGATATATAGATTTTTAAATTTCGATTTGTTTCTGCATTTAAATGGAAAGTTGCCAATCAATTCATTTCATTCTTTTTGTATTACTTCCTCATAGAGGAAGTATTTTTAATTTCGATTGAATTCATATTTTCACGAAACATTAATTACAATTTGTTTTATTCAATAATAATAATAACTCGAGCAAACAATCGAAGCGAAAATTATTTCAATTCTGTATTTTCGTGTTTATATAAATTGTCAAAAAATTTACAATTTACAAAATTTACATTCGAAATGAAAATTAAATCAACTCTAGGTACATCTTTGTATTTACTGAATAAAAAATTACTATTTATAAAGTTTACAAAAAAAAAATTTATAATTTGAACGAAAATTAGACCTATTGCTTATTTTCGTATTTTTAAATTAAAGAAAAATGTAAACTTTAAATTGCAGTACGTTAAGTAATAAAATTCTTAATATTTTGAATTATTATAAACATAAAATAATTATTCTCAAACTTTTCTGTTGCGGAAATTTGAAAACTTTACGCAAATCCAAATTTTAATGAATCAAAGTCTTAAAAATCAAATTACTTAACTTTTACTAACAAACTTTTTAATTAAATTATTTTTTAGTATATAAAATCCGAAAATACGAAAATAAGGTGCTCAATTTTGTTTTGACTGTCCGCCTGTTAACGACAGTAATAAAAATATATTAAAAAACTTTAAAAGTTTCACTAATATAATTTAATTATTCTTCATTAATTCTCCTTAATTAATTCATTAATAATTTTATTATTCACAGGGATCACAGTTATATTTTCATTATAATATTAAGTAAAAAAGGGGATTTTAATTTTAGAAAAAGGAAATTTAGCTTAGAAAAGGATATTTTTCAAATTAAGTACTTAAAATCGAAGGAATTCAATTATTAGGTACTATTAAAACAATTTAATAAAATGCTTCAAAAAAATTCAATTAATTATAAAAATTTCCATAACATTCGTTACAAATATTCAATTATTTTCAAAAACTATTTTAATCTTGAAAGAATTCAATTATTAAAATTTTTTTTTCTAAATTCTTCAGAAGAATTCAATTATTTTCAGAAAAATTTAAAAAAATTTTCAAAAGAATTCAATTATTTTCAAAAATTTTGATAAAATTCTTTATAAGAATTCAATTATTTTCAAAGAATTTAATAAAATTCTTCGCAAAAATTTAATTATTTTCAACATAAATATTAATAAAATTCTATGCAAGAATTAAATTATTTCAAATTCAAACTTATAGAAATTACAAAAATTATAAAATTTTTTTGAACAATAATGTTATTTTTTAAAATTAAAAAAAATTTGACTCACCATTAACGCAAAATTGAGAAAAATAAAAACTTTTCTAAATTTTGCTTGCAAAAATAGTATCACAAAACTTGTACTCATTATCTGAATTTTAGGGAAAATTTGAAATAATTACAACAAATGTAATATGAAACTCCTAAAAAATTAATTTTTTAATTCTACATAAAATAAGAAATTAATATTAATAAAAAACAGTTTACAAATTTTTTTAATAATTATTCCTTTCAAATGTTTTTTTTTTGTAAATTTTGTAATTTTGAATCTGAAATAATTAAAGGATTGCTTGGAAATTTGGATAATAAATAAATTCTTTCGAGGAATTTAATTACAATTTAAAATAATTTCTACTATTCAAAATAATTAATTTCTTATGAAGAATTTAATTGAACTAATAATTGAATTCTTGCCAATAATGTCATTGAAATTTTTTCATAATAATTGAATTCTTGGAAAGAATTTTATTCAAATTCTCGAAAATAATTAAATTCTGTTCAAGCATTTTATTATTCATGAAGATAATTGAATTCTTACCAAGAATTTTATTACAATTTTTTTGATAATAATTGAATTCCTGGTTTTCTGGGAAGAATTTTGTTATTTATGAAAATAATTAAATGTCTGTGTGACAATTGTATTATTTCTGAATATAATTAAATTCTTGCCTTAAATTAAAGTTGTTAAAATTTTTTGATTATAATTGAATTCTTGTCAAGTTTTTTTTAAACTTTTGATAAAAATAATTGGATTCTTGCGAAGAATTTTTTTTAAACTTTTAAAAATAATTGAATTTTTGCAAAAAATTTTATTATTTATAAAAATAATTAAATTTTGATGATAATAATTGAATTCTGGGAAAGAATTTTATTGAAAATTTCGAATATAATTGAATTCTGTTTAAGAATTTTATTATTCATGAAGATAATTGAATTCTTACCAAGAATTTTATTATAATTTTTTGAAAATAATTAGATTCTTGAGAATAATATAATTTTTTTAAAACTTTTAAAAATAATTAAATTCTTGCGAAGAATTTTATTATTTATAAAAAATAATTGAATTTTGATGCTAATAATTGAATTCTTGGAAAGAATTTTATTGAAATTTTGGAAAATAATTGAATTCTGTTGAAGAATTTAATTATTATAAACATATTTAAATTCTTGCCATGAATTCTATTAAAATTTTTTAATAATAATTGAATTCTAGATGTTTCGGAAACAATTTTGTTATTTATGAAAATAATTAAATGTCTGTGTGACAATTGTATTATTTCTGAATATAATTAAATTCTTGCCTTAAATTCAATTTGTTAAAATTTTTTGATTATAAAAAAACTTTTTTTAAAACTTTTGATAAAAATAATTGGATTCTTGCGAAGAATTTTTTTTTTAATCTTTTAAAAATAATTGAATTTTTGCAAAGAATTTTATTATTTATAAAAATAATTGAATTTTGATGATAATAATTGAATTCTTGGAAAGAATTTTATTGAAATTATCGAAAATAATTGAATTCTGTTCAAGAATTTAATTATTATAAACACATTTGAATTCTTGCCATGAATTCTATTAAAATTTTTTGATAATAATTGAATTCCTGGTTTTCCGCGAAGAATTTTGTTATTTATGAAAATAATTGAATTTTATCAATATTTTTGAAAATTGTAAATAATAATACTCAATTAATTAGTGAATTGTTTTTCTAATTATAAGAATCATAATTGTAATTTTTTTTGTCACTTTCTCGTCACCTGTTTTTAGAAAAAAAATTTACCTTTTCATCTATTTTAAGGAAAAAAGATACTGTAATCCTTGAAAAGAGGATTAGCTCCAAAAAAGGCGACTGTGATCCCTACGTTAATTAATTCATTCAAAAATTTCATCATTCATCAATTCAACAATGAAAAAAAAAACGCTACAGGAAAGTCATATTATACCTTTTCCAAACCCCAATACAGAGAAAAAAATTTTTTTTTTCCCAAAAGAATTTGTTAATATCTATTTTACCTCTTTATTATCAGTGTTGCCGAGTTCCTTCGCGTTTTCAGGTGCATTTTCTAAAGATGGTGCATTTGATGATTCATCATTACCAAAGCAATTTCTTCTCGTCCTCGTATTAGTTCTACTATTCTTATTATTACGATTATTATTATTATTATTTCTACTCGACTTTTGCTTTTCAACCGTACTTGAAAATAGATGGGGATCAGATAACCAAGATTGTACTTTCGATACCGAAAGATCTAGGGAATTTGGTAAATCGACATCACTTTTCGATAATAATTTACTAATTTCAAGGAAATTCGTGAAAAGCGATGTACTCGATTCATTTGTAAATTTATATTCAAGTGAGAGACGGGAATTTTTGATATTCTGTGTATTCGGTGATTCATCATGGGGATTATTTAAGTCCTGTGACGATTGACTCTCTGATTCTAGTTCAATTTCATCGAGAAGTAGATTTTCTCTATTCTCGGGCGAGAAATAGACGATCAATGGAATTCCTTTGCGTAATTCCCTGAGGGAATTGCGTGAATTTTGATTTTGTTCTCGATTAAAGGAAGATAACTCGTCAGTTAGTATCTGATATTTTTTTAGCGATATCTTCACAGAGTCGTTACGACGGAAAGTGGAGAAGGTGTCAACTTGATTGAGAGTATTGTCACCGGTTGATAATTCAGAAAGAGGATTTACAAAACCTGATAATTCGGAGACATTTTCCGTTTGGTTAGTTTCCGATGTGCTTTCGGTACCGTTTGTTTCTGGGGGGAAAAGTTTTTCTGACTCAGAAGCAGTGGGGAGAGAATTAATTGATGCATTAAGAAGAGAGGTGTTAGTTTTCATAGAAGCGTTAAAATTGAGACAAGGATTTTCGAAAGAGAGGCAGTAGGTTGATTGGGTTTCTTCGCTGCAAGGAGTGCAGGCGAGGAGATTCTCCTCGGAGTAGGATTTTTTACCCTTTTTGGGGCTGTAGAGTTGAAAAGACCTGGAGAGAATGTCGACCCTTCGACTAGAATCGTGACCAATGTCATCGTCGAGAAATGAGGATTCACCAATAGCCTCGTTGCGAATATTAGAGAAAGCTTGAGGTGAGTGCGTTGTGCGATAAGCAATAAGCGTGGGTTTGTGATTGTAATGGTGCTTGAGGGAGGATAAGCTTTCTACGAAGAGACTTTTGACTCTGGACCTTACCTTCTTGTCGTGCTTTTGTTCGAGTGTGCGCACGACTAGAGAATTATCAGAGGATGGGAGGCTATATCGGTTCTTGTTCGCCGCCGCTTCCTCGAGCTCAATTTTATGATTGTGAGCAATCTCTAAATCTCTAGGGCTGAAGTGCGCGGAATGGCGTTTTTGTTCGAGGGTGTTGTGCTTGCTGTTCGTGGGAGTCTTGTTCGGCGGTGGATAAACAGGATGAGATTTGGTCACTGGCACAAAATCGTCAGGACAGTCGACCGCCACCTCGCGGTAATTTTTGTTGCCGACGACGAGGAATGAATTGGATTCGGTGGAGGCCTCACTTCGGAGGGTCGAATATCCACTGGATGTTTGTTGTTGGCGTCGTTTCTTCGTTCGGGATTTGGTTGTTGAGAGATCGACGCTGATAAGATCGTCGGTCGAGGCGACTCGCATCAATTCGGAATTCTCGAGATTCCGTTGGTTTGAGTTGGAAATCTTCACGGGAGTGTCTGATTTGACTTCGGATTTGGGGTCCTTCCATTTGCGGGGTATGATGACTTTTTCGTCAATCAGACGGGTGAGATCGGTGACCTCGTCGGACCGCATGAGAAAGCCTTGGAGGTCGGCGAGACCGTAGGCTGGATTCTCGAAGGACGTGGTGTTGAAGATTGGAGTTACTTTCGAGCCGAGGTCGATTCTACGAACGTCGTAGGGGAGGGAATCGTTTCCACAGGGTGAGTCGTGCCTTAGAACGAGGCTCGAATCCAGGGGTGCTGTACTGTCGGACCGACCCGAAGAGCTTCTGGGACTCGCCGAATCGTCACTGCAACTTTTCAGCATCGTCGGATAGTCCTCCTTGGCGAATGGATAGTCCTCCTCAGTGTCGACGTTAGATTCCTTCTGATTCGAATGATCGTCGTCCTCCTCGTCGTCGGAACTCTTGAGTGGATCTTTCAAGTCTGGCGAACCAGAATTCGTGGAATTGGCCTGCTGATTATTGTGAATTGTCTTATCGTCCTCGTTCACCTCATCTGGTGAATTTATAAGATTCTTGTTGGTTGGATTTTGAATTTTCAGCTCGATGGTGATTATTGGTGGCGGTTCGAGAGCAGAGACAAGGGGTGAACTTTCGGGATCGCGCTTCTTTTGGGAGAGAGTGGACTTTTTAAGTGTTTCATTGCGGAGATTTAGGGAAAGATTGCTAGCGCTACGGGATTGTCGTGGCTCGTTCCTACATGGGGATGAACCGATCTTTACCTTGTTGGGGTAAGCCTGCTGGAGGAGAGTGTCAGGGACATCGACGGGCAGTTCCCGATGATGGCCCAGGGCACCTGAGCCCCACATCTCATCGGGCCCCAAACCCTCCCGCGACTCCTTCGTATCCTGCGAGCTGCTGTTGTTATTCTCCTGCAACTGCGATTGTTGCTGATTTTGCTGCAGGTGAATCTCTGCCACGCCACTGCCAGTACTACGCCTTCTGGACCTGGAAAATTAAAATATTCTTTTAGTCCCTAATTTTGAAGAATTGGGTGAAATAATACAGGGTGCAAAAGCTAAAACTTATTGTAAAGTCAAAGTACTTCATGGAGAGGTTTTTTCCTACAGCGTTACAGTGGTTTTTTTAGCGTTCTTGCATAGTAGAAATAAAAGATTTTCTTCATCAGAAAAGTCCACTATGATTAAACTTTTAGCGAACATATGTGACCCTTTCTGAAGAAAGAGGAAAACAGCAAAAAAAGTTATAGCTTGTCCTAAATTCCTTTTCAAGTAATTTTTTGTTTTGGAAAAAGAAAAACAATGTTTATTGAAAGTTTAGGATGAAATGAAAACTTTAGTTTTCATTTCATCCTAAACGTTCAATAAACATTGTATTTCTTTTTCCAAAACAAAAAATCTTTACTCAACTCTTTTTGCTGTACTATCTTCAGAACGCCTCACAAGAAACAAAATTTGCTACAATAAAACTCTAAATATTTTACTGAAAATCAGTTAACAACTTAGAGATTCAGATTTAGACACTAAAGAAAAATTCAAACAAAAAGAACTATACAAAAAGAATAAAAAATAAAAATCCAAGCAGAAACCTGGTTGTAAATTCACTATTATCGAATAAAATAAATTCGACGATGTGGCTTGAAGTCGATGTAGCCTGAAGGTCAAGTACTCGTACATGTGTCTCCAAAAATCCATGAAAAATTATGTTCCACTCTTTTGAAACAAACACATATTTAAAATATCAAAATAACTCGCACGTAGGTACGATAATATGTAATGTACGACAATAAATAAAAAAAAGACAATGAACCTATATACACAATAAAGAGAATTTAATTTCGACAGGAAATTTTATACTCGAAAAATGCCATCTGTTTAGAAAGGATAAAAATACAGGGTCTTGTGCAAAGCGAGTCGACGCATCGCATCCGCCAGTTCATACGTTTAAATAAAAGGGAATTCATGAGGCAAACGATGTTGAATAAAGAGACAATGGGGTTTGAAGACAAAAGGCATAGGAAATACGTACACGTGGTTCCGTACCAAACAGTGGTTTTCATCGACCGATCATCACGTACCCTATAACGGATCTTTTTTCCTCTTTTTTCTTCTCTCCCTCACTCTTTTTTTTTTTTAGAGAGTATGTAATCTGTTTTACTTCTTAACATTTCCGCGATGGGAAAAAAAAAATGTCTCTCATTATTAGGATATTTTTACCGCGAAGATATCAAATTCATTTCTTATGACTAACTGTACGATATTGTAGAATAAAAATTTATCTTTCCGTGTAATAATGAAGCAATTCCAGCGTCATTTTTTTTTTTGGTGTTAGTTTTCAATTTATAGTAGCAAAAGAAAGAGTGTAAGATTTTTCTGAAATTTATTATCCCTTTGCAGGTTATTATTTTACGAGGTTCTATTTTTATCCTTTCGTTACTATCTACCCTTTTTTTTGGAAAGATTTAATAATCACTGATTATATAAATCACTCAACAGAATTATTTAATTTTGAAATATTTTTCGAAATTATCTTTCCCTTTAATTTTTTATTTTAATCTTTAATTTTAGCCCTTTATTTTTTCAATTTTATTCGAGTTCAAAAAATTAATTCTCAATTAAATATTTGCATATTATTTCCTTTCTAGCTTAATGCCGGTTTTCCATTTTATTGGCTCATTCAAATCCACGTGAGCAATGATTAATCGTAAATTAGAATATTGACCAAGTCATCATTAAATAAAATATTCAGGTATAAAAAAATTTCTCTATCGAAATATTTGTAAAATTGCCAGAGTTGATTATTACAAAATATAATTTATATATATACCTAACGTTGAAATACTTTTATTATCAGACATTAATAATAAAGAAAATTTCTGCAAGTAATCAGAATTTTTCAAATATTTAAAACACAAAAGAAGAAAAAGAAAATTTTTTTTTATTCTTTTATCACGATTGTCAAAATATTTTCAATTAAATAAATTAATTTCGGTGAATAAAAAACAAAATTAGAATCATATGATTTTAATTTTCACTCTAAATTCAGGGTGGTCACAAGTTTCAGTTTATCAATTTCCCTGACAATTTACTGACATTAAAATTATTTTCCCTGACAAAATTCTTTTTACAGGAAAATATGAAAGTTTTGGGGAAAATGATAGTAAAATTTATAAAATTTAATAATTTCTAAAAATTAAAATTATAACCCTTCCTGAATTCAATTATTTTCTACAATTTGCAACTAAACTTCATCTCTGAATCAATTGATTTAAATAATTTTCCAAAAATTCTAAAATTATTCAATTATTTAAGTACAAAAACTCAATTTTTTATAATAATTGTAACTCTCCATAGTTTTTTAATAATAGTTATTTTCAATTATGAAAAATTTCCAAACAATTGAAATTTGGTAAAATCTTTTAAAAATAATTGAATTATTTTGAAAAATATAAATAGAAATGATCATATTTTTGAAGAATTTTAATTATAAAACAGAACCATGATTTCTCAAAAATTTTAATAAGTACAACAAGTAGAAAATTTTTATAAATTTTTAATTACACTGTTCGAAGATAATTGAATGTTAAAAAATTATTATAAAACAATTCTAATAATTAGTTTTTAAAAATATTTTAAAGCAATTTTTCGAAAATAATTGAATTTTTTAAAAGAATTTTTGTATAATTTAAAAAAATCAATAAACTTCTTGATGAATTTTAATTAAAAATTATTTTCAATACAATTTCAATAAAATTTCTAGAAAAAATACAATTATAATTTTGAAAATGTTAATTAAATTCGATTATTTTCAAGAATTTTAATATAAATTCAATTATTTTTAACAATTTTGAATTTGATGAAATTCTTTTTAAAAAATCGCATTATTTTGAAAATAATAATAAAATTTTTCAAAAGAATTCAATTATTTTCATAAATAATATTTTTTAGAAAAATTCAATTATTTTCAAAATATTTTCAAAATATTATTTAAATAATTTAAATAATATTTTGAATTATCAGAATTTAGAATTTATCAGAATTCGTTTTCGACAATTTAGATGAAATTCTTTTTAAAAAATTATTATTTTCAAAATTTTTAATATAATTCCTTCAAATAATTCAATTATTTTCAACAATTCAGATAAAATTTTTCGAAACAATTCAATTATTTTTCTAAAATATAACATTCTAGGCAAGAATTCAATTATTTTTGTAAATAATAGAATTCTTCTGAGAAATTCAATTTTAATAAAATTTCTCTAACAGGTTCAATTATATTTAAAAATTGTAATAAAATTTTTCTAAACAATTCAATTATTATTCTCAGAAGTTTTTAATAAAATTCTTTGTAAATTTCAAATATTTTCAAAATTTGCAGTTAAAATTGTATTTAAATTTAAACATTTCATTATTTTTATGAAATTTAATGAAATTCTTCAAAAAAATGTAATTATTTACAAAAACTCTAGTAAAATTGTTTAAAAGAATTTAATTTTCTATGAATAATTTTAATATAATTTTATAGAAAAATTATTAATTACAATTAATAATAAGCACTATTATGTATTTTTTTAATAATAAACACTATTATTTTAAAAACTTAAAAGAAAATCTTCATAAAATTCAATTACTTTAAAAATTTTAAGTAGAAATTATTTTTAAAAAACTCCATTTATTTTCAAAAAAATTAATATAAATTTTTCAAAAAAATTTATTTATTTTAAACATTTAAAAAGGAAAATTATTTTAAAAAGTCGCCATTTTTGAAAATGGGTAGAAAAAAGTTATAATTTTCTTAATTTCCCTGACAAAATTTTTTTTTCCTGATATTTTGAAATCAAACAATTTTAAAAAAATTGTTCTAAAACAAGAATAATAATAATAATAAGAATAATAGCTTCTTTAAATTAATTATTTTTAATAATTTTTGAAAATTTTCAAATCCTTTTGCTTACAATTCAATTTTACGAAATTCCATCGATTATTCGGAAATTGAATTGAGAAAAGTTTTTGAAAATAATTGAAATTTAGCAAAGAATTTTATTAAAAGTTTTTAAAAATAATTGAATTTTGAAGAAAAATTTTTCTTTTTTTTATTTATGAAGATCATTTGAAATTTAGACAGAATTTTTTTAAACTTTTGACCATAATTATTGAATTTTTGTGAAGAATTTTATAAAAAAAATTATAAAAATAATAGGATTCCTGTGAAATTTTTATTATATTTAATTCATTCATTAAAAATTGAAATTTTCTAAAATTTCAAATTAAAACATTTTGAAGTTGCGTGGCAACCATATGATGACTAAAAACGTTTTTAAGAAATCATAAACATTGTATAAACTTTATCAGTGAAAAATAACTTTTTTCATCACTATGACGAGGTAAAAAATATTCTATTTATAGAAAAAGGAAAAAATTCCTCCCCCCCCCCCCAGAAAATAATAGTTGAAGAATGTAGTTGAGACTGTCAATTAGCGATTTAAAAATGAAATGTTGAACGACTGAAGAAAATGTTGGTTTGAATTTAATTACAAGTTAGTTATACCCCCGCAATGCAATCGGCGCATCCGGCGTTTTCTTGCACAAGTGCATAAATACCAAGTGCAGCAGTTCTCTAAACTAAAAGTTTCAACGGTTTCAACGAATGGCGAGTGGCGACGAAAGAGTTGCTATGCAGCCAGAGCGAGCTTTGGACTTGAAATGGAGCACAAAAAGATAGAGAGTACAATACAGAATTTCAAGATACTGGTTTTCTAGTTTCTACAATATAACGATCAAGGGAAACTCAAGTGCGGCTGCGGCTGCGGGTCCTGTTTCTTTTTCTCGTTCTCTTTCTCTCATCTCTGTCTAAAACTGGACTCTACAATATGTAGGCTAGTAGTCGGTGGCCAAGCTTTTAATCCGGATTACTTTTAGAGGGAATGTCTGCTACATCAGTTTTTCTATATATGTCTATACTCATTCTCTCTACTCATTTTCCAGCAA